ACACTCGAATGTGGTTCAGTTTGGTTAAATAAAAGAGGTTCACAAATCTCCAGGTGTAAGGCAATTGAAAGCGAGTGCAGTCGATTAAGTTATGTCAACAGGTTTGCCAAGTTACGTACAGGGGTAAACGTTTCAGCTGAGAAAATAACAGAATTTTTTGTGTGTTTCATCCCAAAGAGCTGCTGAAAAGCAGAGACAGTGAGCTTGAGAGATGCAAAAGGGTAGGCTTGGTTCTGCTCATGTGGCATCTGTATGTTGATGTGTATCAGAGAAGGCCAAGATGTTTCAAGAGAGTAAGTGCATCATGCACAGGGAATTACAGACCAGTCGGTCTTACTTTTGTGGTGGGCAAATTATTGGAGAGGCTTCTGAGAGACAGTATTCATGATTATTTGGAAAAGCACAATTTGATTAGAAATAGTCAGCATGGCTTTGTGAGGGGGCAGGTCATGTCTCACAAGCCCTATTGAATTCTTTGAGGATGTCACAAAACACATTGATGAAGGCAGAGCAGTGGATGTGGTGTATATGGATTTTAGCAAGACATTTGAAAAGGTTCCCCATGGTAGGCTCATTCAGAAAGTAAGGAGGCATGGGATTCAGGGAAATTTGGCTGTCTGGATACAAAACTGGCTGTCCAATAGAAGACAGAGGGTGGTAGTAGATGGAAAGTATTCAGCCTGGAGCTCGGTGACCAGTGGTGTTCCGCAGGGATCTGTTCTGGGACCTCTGCCCTTTGTGATCTTCATAAATGACTTGGATAAGGAAGTGGAAAGGTAGGTTAGTAAGTTTGCCGATGACACAAAGGTTGGTGGAGTTGTGGACAGCGTGGAGGGCTGTTGTAGGTTGCAATGGGACATTGATAGGATGCAGAGCTGGGCAAAGAAGTGGCAGATGGGAATTCAACTCGGAAAAGTGTGAAGTGATTCATTTAGGAAGGTCGAATTTGAATGCAGAATACAGGGTTGATGGCAGGATTCTCAGCATTGTGGAGGAACAGACAAGATCTTGGGTCCACATCCATAGATGCCTCAAAGTTGCTCCCCAAGTTGATACAGTTGTTAAGAAGGCGTATGGTGTGTTGGCTTTCATTGGCAGGGGTATTGAGTTTAAGAGCCACGAGGTTAAGTTGCAACTCTATAAAACCCTGGTTGGACCACACATGGAATATTGTGTTCAGTTCTGGTCACCTCATTATAGGAAAGATGTGGAAGCTTTAGAGTGGAGCAGAGCAGATTTACCAGGATGCTGCCTGGAATGGGGGGCAGGTCTTATGAGGAAAGGCTGAGGGAGCTAGGGCTTTTTTCATTGGAGTGAAGAAGGATGAGAGGTGACTTGATAGAGGTGTACATGATGATGAGAAGCATAGATAGAATGGATAGCCAGAAACTTTTTCCCAGGGCGGAAATGACTATAACGAGGGGACTTAATTTTAAGGTGATTGGAGGAAGGTATAGGGGAGATGTCAGAAGTAGGATCTTTACACAGAGAGCGGGGGGTGTGTGGAATGTGCTGCCGGCGGTGGTAGTGGAGTCAGATACATTAGAGACATTTAAGCGACTCTTGGATAGGCACATGGATGATGGTATAATGTAGGGTATGCAGGGCAGTTTAATCTTAGTAGGATAATAGATCGGCACAACATCGTGGGCTGAAGGGCCTGTACTGTGCTGTACTGTTCCATGTTCTATGTTCTAATATTAGAAAGGTGGAAGCTAACCCTGTACAAAACGTACCATCTTTGTACTGCAAATGAATTCTGTAGGGTCTCAACAGAAACTATCGAAAGCACTTTGGAAATAATGGCTGAAATTTTAAGTTTGAGAATGCTCTTTCATTTGTTTTGCTTTTCCCAGCCAACAGATTGCTGCCCACATTAAAGCTGGTCCAGCATGAAGGAAATCTCAATAAACTCACAATCCAGCACAGGCTACTGAGTCCTCACTTGGCTGACTCAGACACCCAGCACAGATGTACTGGCCCACTGCCTCTACCCTCGCCTGCTGTGCTCTGTCTTGTGCAGCTACAACAGGTCAAATGACAGTGCCACAGAAATGATCACAGCAGCCCTGAGACTTCTCCCCACATTTAGCCTTCAACTGTACTTCATCTCGGAGCGCCTGTGTCAATCCAACCTCAACATAGGAGGACAAAGCTCTGGCCACTCCAAGCCACACAATGCCCCAATGCAGGTGTGCCCTTCAAAGAGCTTTGGCCTCCAGATCCTTGCTGTACAGTATGCATCCATGCCATGTCAACTGTGAGGCACCAGGCCTACAAACTACAAACCTATCATTCCTATTCAACCATCTTTAACTAATGATTGCACCTCACACAAGGCAAATGCACAGATGAACCCATTGCAACTCATCTACTTCAATGCTCGAATGTTGCAGCAATCCAGTTAAAAGCAGGGCCAGGGTCCTCAGTACCAAGATTTGGTGACCAGATCTTTGGTATAATTGTGCTAACTGACCATGAGACAAGAGACATATTTTACCACCTGTTGAGAGGTCCAAGTAATGAACACACATCTTGTGTAACCACAATGTTGATCGTTTGCCTCAACAAGGCAACTAAGCAGAAACATAACTGCAGGTTTGTAGTTCTCAGTGCATCATTAAAATGCTTCATATCACAAAGATTATTTCTGTATTTAGAGAAAATAGACATTCCGACCTCTAAAAAATGACTCAATGTATCAATGTTTATTGTTCAGGATGGTTTAATTTGAAATAAGATGCTTTAGTTTTACAAGGAGAAAAAATGTAGGATTTAATTATTCAATTATTATGTTCTTGACTATTTGTATCTGTTCACTTTGTTCTGTGCGCTTATAGTTAATCCTGGGTATGGTGACTGAGAAAGATTAACTAAATATAAGCATGAAGCTACCAGCATGAGACTAGACATTTTAAAAGCACTGAAAATAAAATACTTGTTTAGACAAAGAAATTACTGTCATCTCTTAATACCTCCAAGACACAAGCGCAACCTGTGTAGTAAATGAAGTACATACAAGAGCAGAGGGAGGTGCTGCCGGGGCTGTACTGTGTTATTTGCAGCCTAAGCCAGTCATAGTTCACCTGAGTGCTGATATCCAGGATACTTGCACAGCCAGCCTAATGATAGCTGGAGGGTGCAGATTGTGCCCTAGTGGAAGATTCCTTCAAGCATCCGGAAAGGCCACTAATGGTTGAGGATGTTCGAAAGGAAGACGAATTTTCCATGCAGTTTGCACTCCACTCTTATCGTCCTTGGCTTCACTAGTCTCTCGAACAAGACTGCATCCGTGGTGTAGCTCACAGTAACAACAGATAACCCCATAGAGTTACAGGCGGTGTAATCACAGAAGGACTCCAAAGGGTCTCTGAAAAATGAGTCTTCACAGCCCCGAGGCAAAGATGTGAGTAAACTGTCATCATTTCCTCCAAGGTAAGAAGCAAAGCACTGTGTGGGAGTGTGTTGACTGTGTGTTTTAAAGCAATTCAGTCAAGGAAAGTGCACCTTCAGCAGGCTGATGAGAGTCTTAGTGAGCTGGTAGCTTGCATAATACCAGGAGCCATCTCCTCACAGAGGTAGCCTTCTTTTCCCAGAATCAAACCACATACCTGGAGGCTTGGGTCAAAAAAGCTACAGAGGCTTTGATTGACATGGTAAGAATGAGCTGTCGTGGTTGCCAGGAAAGTGTGTGCTAACATGGAGAACTTTTATTTCCTGTAAGTTAGGACTAGCTGTACACTGAGAGGGTGGTCTGTCTTCCTGTTTATGGAATGTCTGGTCTATTAGTTGATACACTGATGCCACATGCGTGCAGTCAATAAAGAACTGCCCTTGCTGGAATCCACATGTTGCCCTCTTCCTGTGGGAGCCTGATACTAATGTTGAATCTGATGTAATCTCCTATCTTTATGAAGAGGGTATCTGTGACTGAGGAGGTGCACCAATGTACAGCTACCACAGAGAACTGCAGCTGGCCTTATCAAAGATCTTGATGCAAAAAAAAACGCATCTTCAGTGCTACTGACAGGGTCTGTCTTTGAATGGCACAATGTGATATCTCATCCCTGATGATGGCATAGATTGGTATGACCATTTCCCCGGAAAGTCTCAGTCATGGCAGTCATACTTGCTCAGGGCAGCTGTGTCTGTTGCATTATATCCTGCTTTCTGGGTTGTTGTTCATCCTCCTGTTTCTGAACCTAGCTTCATTGTGGGACTGTAAAATCTGGCTCTAAGTACCACCCTTTTATTGTAAAGTTGAGGTAATGCAAAATTGTCTAATGTGTTGCTTCAATTTTATTTTTCTCAACTTTGCCTATTAAAACTATACAGGTTAATCTGAAGGGACAGACTGCTGACTTATTTTTAAACAAGTTGTTTTTGAGAAGATTTATAATTTGTATTATTTCTGTTTAAAGTCACTATTGTAATACAATTAACTACATAGAGAAAAAGCAGCATTCTTGTATTTAAATTACATAAACAGAGCAAATAAATGGAAATTTATGTTGTAATATCTGTATCTTGTTTTATTTTTAAAAAAAGCCTATTTCAATGAAACACACATTGTTGCAGAATATCCAACTCAGTTCCCTGTGACTCTGAGAGGGAAAGATTTAATTTGAAAATATAACTTAAAAAAAACTCAGATCAACTGTGTTGAAAGCCAAAAGTCTATTTCCTTATATAAAGTAGGAGTACTGGCTTTACCATGACACATGCACCTGTTTTACATATGTTACTGATAAGTGGACAGGGATCATACTTCCTCACTTTTGCATGAATAACAAAATACTGTTTATTTTCCAAAAGCAACACTGATCCACTTTTATCCCTGAGCAGCTATCTAATAAACTTTTCTTCCAAAAAACCTAGCACTGCCCTTTTTTTAAAGCGACTTAACATGATCAGGGCAATGTTAGTTGTTCTGAAGAATCTGTCATATACCTTTCATCAAGTTACCTACACACATAAAAATGAAATAAAGAAGCTCTGACCTGCTCAGATAAGCATTGCTGATACAGCCTGTGAAGTTAACATATTGGTCATGGACTGAACCTCCAAAGTAGAATTTTCCTTTTGGGTGGACTGATTCTTCCGTGGGACAATCATTTGTTGTTTGATCCTCATCATCCACTACTAATTGACAACTGAAGAAAAATAGGAGCAAAAAATTACTTGTCACAAAGTTACTCTGTCAATGAAGATTCAGCGCTGGATGAAAATTCAATGTTATCTCATTGAGGCTCTGCACTGCAAAAACAAATCACAACAAATACAATTTTCAGTGAAACAGAAGTTTGTAATAAAAGCAAATGCTATGGATATTAGAGAACTGAAGTAAAACCAGAAAATGCTGAAATATACTCAACGGGTCTAGCAGCAGCAGTAAAGAGAGAAACATAATTAATGTTTTGAGTACCACAACTCTATTTGGGATCCACCACAAGTGAGGTGGGTAAAGCTGAGACCCTGGGTATCTAAATGCCAATACCTCGAGCCATTAGACTTTTTGAATGGAGGAAAGTCATGATAATTCCTCAAACTATGAGTTTCTTGACAGATGGGATGGTGATTATTCCAAGGACTCTGAGAAGGTATGAGGAGAAAATAAATGTAGTGCATATTGAAAGGCATTTAGCTTCATATTTCTAAACATTCATATTTCCAACTTTCAATGACATTGGATTTTGGAAATACTTTAAATATTGATCCCGAGCTCATAAAGATAAATATTTAAAAACTTCTTTAGTTTTGATTCAAGTAATATAATCACTTGTAGACAAATCATAAAATATATGATGTGGAGGTGCCGGTGTTGGACTGGGGTGAACAAGGTCAGAAATCACATGACACCAGGTTATAGTCCAACAGGTTTATTTGAAAACACAAGCTTTCTGAGCCTCACTTCTTCTTCAGGTGTTGGTGAGAGAGGTGACATCAAAAGCAGAATTTATAGTAAAAGATCAAAGGGTCACACCACTGATGAGGATATATTAAACAAGTCTAAGATGCTGTTAAATCTTTAATCAGTTAGAAGGTTTTAATTGATTAATTTGTACATGTAAATCCCTGAATTCCTTTCAAATCACTGTCCTGAGAGAACTAAAGGTTTTAACAGTGTAAAGAAGAGGTGACATTTTAGGTCAGACATTGCATGCTAGGTGTGAGGTCTTGTTTAGGATTTGTTTGTTTTGGTTTGGAGTCAGACTGATTTTATTTCTAAAGTAGGAATTTATAAAACGCCACAGTGACTGACTGTCTCTAAATTGTGTGCTTTTTGAACAACATAGAATGAACCTGCAAATACAAATTCACCCCATAGATTTGCGTGTGTGTGTGTGTGTGTGTGTGTGTGTGTGTGTGTGTGTGTGTGTG